GATGGTTATTAAAAGAACCGTCAATTATTATTGAAATATTTGATGGTTTTAAACTAATAATTGTCAAGTATTTTCAAAATTTTTTATTTTTAATAATGGTGCTGCTTTTCTAGCAGCCACTTTGCATTATGAAATTTTATACAAAGCAACATTATTTGATAAACAGAACCAGGCCAGCATTCAAACCAATATACAATAATCAATAATTCAGTCATATAAATCTAATTAACCATGTACCAAACAGAAATTTATATTATATACATCTTAATAACAAATCAAATATCATACACTATGTTGTCTTAAGCCAAATCAAAATTTTGGACAAGTACAAAAGGCAAAAGCAAAAAACCAACCAAAACCAAAATTGGCCAATTGCCAAAAACCATAACAAAATTGTTCAATACCAAAACCAATAGCATAATGTTGAAACCAAAGTAGTCTTTTACTTCTCTATCTATTTTGTGTCCACTGACGGTACAAAGCCATTGCTAGCTCTTCAATGATTTCTTCTATCTGAGGGGATGAATACGCTGTGCAATATATGTCAGCAAAGTATTATATGTAAAAGCAAATTGAAATTAGATATGAATGTATAGCTACATTAAGTATAATTCTAAAATATATAGCTTTAACAAATGCATATTTCCTTCATAGGGATTGTGTCAGAATTGTGCATACCTATCTCCTTCATGAATTTCATCTTACAATACCCACAATCAAAGATTTTGTTAGGCTGATATGGGCACTATAAAGAATGGGAAAGGAAAATATATTAGCCAATCATATAAATAAACCATATTTACTGGAATAGTAAATAGTGGTAATGAATACTTTTACTTTCTTCCATGGAAAAGCTAAGTCAAATTAGCCGTTTTTGACCAGGGCAGGGTAAGGCTTGATCTGCGCGGTATAGCCACAAAGCTCTAAGAAGACAATAAAATTGAATATTAATGATTGTCAAAAATTATATTGAAGCAAGAAATTAAATAAAATATGAATAATAGATATAAATGTTACTTATTAAACAATAAAATGATAAACGGTCAATTGGTCAGATCCCTATGAAGAGAATCGAGATACCAAATCCTTGGCTTTGTAGGATTGACCACAATCACCATCCAATGTCTTCTAAGCATGAGAAAGACAATTAGAACAATTACAAAATGTTTGAAAATAAAATAATTTAAGTAACTTCAGTATACTATCCGTGACAGTAAAGCACCAAAAACAAAGCATCCCAAGTCTTTACTGCCATTAAAATGAAAATATCTGCCAAAGCTCTAGATAAGTCTTTCTTCTTCATATCAGGGTCATGGCCAGCAAAAGTCTAGGAGCTGATAATCTTGAACTTGTCATCGAGACCACTAGGCATTATAAAATTCTTGTAAAGATACCTAAATCAACAAACAAAAATATCAATAGAATATATATTTAGGTAATTAAGTATTTAATCAAAGTTTTAAGAAATACCTGATATAAAAGTTACAGGGGCGTTCATGCTAGCCATTCCATGATTTAGAATTTCTTTCAATACGTCATTTGTGATGTAGTCAGACTAGAGTCTACCATAGATCTCTGGCTCAAAATCTAAGGGAATCATTAAGGAATCACCATACTCTAATCTGGCCCCAATTGCATATTCCTCAAGACATTTAGAATCTTGATGATAGCACTTATACGGGCTCAGAGGGCTGCTTTTGTATCGATGATAATAAGTAATCACCCAATAGGATCTTCTTCCGCTTAGACTAACAAAACCACAGTTAGTAATTAAAATAAGAGTTTATTTTAAATCAACTAAAAGTTTCAACCTATACATACCTTTATAGGCTGTCCTAAGATTAGAAGACAGCAGGCCTAGCAACAAAACTATCCACGGCCTAAGCCACTATCTCTGCATCTGTGGTGGGCCTAGGAAGGGCATAGTTAGGATCAATGGCAGTGTTCAACTATACCCTCACATTATTTGCGTGGAAAAAACACATTATGAATCATGATCTCCTCTAGTCAATGGTGTAGGTGCCTTACCTTCTTATGAATTCTCATTGAAATATTTTTTATATCACTGGTAAGGATGATCACGATGCAACCATCTATAATGTCCCACATATGAATTTTTCATACTATGCTTCAAACTTATAGAATTTGTGCTCTCTTCATAAATGAGACAACCAAGTTGCCCTTTAATGCTATACCTTGAGAGATTACCATAAGTAGGGAAGTTGTTAATTGTGCCGAACAATATGGCTCTCAACTTGAATGTTTCTTTCTTATACGCATCATATACATCGACCACACTCTTTCACAATAGTTTCAAGTCTTCAATTAATGGAGCTAAATATATATCTATATTATTTCCCAGTTGCTTTAGCCTAGAGACTATCATAGACATCATGGAATGCTTGCGCTTCATACATAACCCTAGAGGAAGGTTATATATAAACAAAATCACTGGCTATGTGTTGTGGGTGCTGCTTTGCATCCCATACAAGTTAATCCTGTCAGTGGCTAATGCAAGGCGTAGATTTCTATGTTCTTTTCCAAATTCAGAATACTCAATATCAAACTTCTTCTATTTTAAAGAATCAGTAGGATATCAAAGTATGCCATCTTTAATCCTTTCATCTGCGTGCCACCTTAAATTTCTTACATCTTATACATTACTATAGAAGCGTCTAAATCTTGGCACAATGGGAAAATACTATAATACCTTCTTGGAGCTCCTCTCATTCTCTTGGTAGCGTGACGTATTATAGTTAGGAAACTCAGTTAGTGACTTATATTTCTTCCTAAACAAAATACAATCGTTAGGGCAAGTATGTATCTTCTCATAGTTGAGGTCGATATAGCACAACACTTGCTTTGCATCATATGTTTTATTTAGAAGCTCATTTTCTTTCAATAGCATTTATTTAACAAGCGAAAGCAGTTCTGTGAAGCTTGTGTCACTTCACCCATTTCTTGCCTTCAAGTTATACAGTTTCAAAATTGCAGACAATTTTGTAAAGTCGGTACAACCTTCATATAGAGGTGTCTCAACATTACACTTCAACCTCTCAAACATTTCTGAACAATCCTCAAGTCCCCGTTCAATAGCACTGGCCATATCCTCAAGACGGTCAGCTTCATATGTACTTGTGTCAAATCAACATCTTTTACCATGTCCTCGACTACTATTATTCGCATCTCTTGTCTCTCCGTGCTTTATTCAGCACTTATAACTTTGATAGATTCTATTAATAATTATGTTACTCTTACAAATGGATGGCGAAACCCACTTCAAAAGACAACACTCAAGACAAGGGCAAATACTCCTACTGTGTTTATTAGCATGCTCAACCACAAGTCCGCAAACTTAATAAAATCTTCTACCCTATCCCAATATACCTTTGATAGACGATTGGTGGATATCCATTTCTTGTCTATGGTCCCCAACCAAGATGAATCATTTAGAGGAAAATGTGATCAGTGACCCAAAAATATTGTGAGAATTAAACAAAAATAGAAAGTTAATGCATGAGGCACTATTGATCACATTTATTCCTCTTTAATTCTACTCGTTAACAACTAGTAATTCTAGTTGTTAACAACTAGTAATTCAACAAAAATTCACTTTGAGTTTAATTTTAAAATATTTTACTACTACTAATGTGCTATTCCATTTAAAAAAAATTTAGTAGCATAACGGCTTATAATTGAGCATTTCTCCAGCTTTATGCCTTTTATTTGACTTCAAATAAAGTATTAAACAAAATACCAATAGCAAGGCAATTTTAATAACAACATCCAAATTAATTAACATTTAATAATTTGAAAAAGCATAAAACATAGGGCCCTCAAGTCAATTTCAATTCTAAAAGCAAAGAATCTATGGCAAAAATAGAAAGCATATGACCTAAATGACTTCTTTTTTACACTAATTGTTATTGAATCCTCACATATGGCCAGCAAAGCAATTTCAATGTAACTAGCTACACTTTTACTAAAAAATAGCAAGTCCTCTACAAAACCCATATTAAACTTCCACAAACCACAAATAAGCAACACTTTCAAAGAATAAAAATCAAAAGGCTTAAATGCATAGCAATAATCCCATTCAACTCTAAACTAACAACTTCTGTGAGTTGGAAAAAACTCACTTCTAAACAAACAGAATTTTTTTCTAATTCATTATCCTGCAATTATAAGATGAACACTAGAAGCAGTGGAGTAGCAAAGCACTAAACGTGACTTAGCTTTGAAAAGGAAATGCAATAGATCAATCTGAAGCGATTAAATCCATGAGTTGTGCCAGGAAAAATGCAACAAGGTAGAAGGAACCACGAAATTAGATTAGGGATTGTAAAGAAGAACACGACTGACCTGAAGCTATAAAATATCAAGAACATGCTGTGACAATGATGGAGGACGAGCACACAGTGTGATGACGCAACAATGATGGAGTAGGACCATAAAAGACAATGATAATGGAGGAGGAACCACAAAAACAAGAGGAAAAGATTGAAAATGATGTAGGGATGGCACATTAGATGGCTGGGAAGTTTGGGCAGAGTGTGCAAAACAGAATAGTGCCTAAAATTTTAAAACGAGGTCGAGCGAAATGAAATTGGTTAGAGGTTTTAAAACACAATACTCGATGGTTTTCCAATATAACTGTCAAGTATGTTTAACAAATAATTAACGGTTTCATACTTGGTGGTTCCTTTTAGAATTGTCAAGTATTCTCAAACGATAATTGATGGTTCCTTTTAAAACTGTCAATTTTTATTCGGGAAAATTCTGCCTCACCTTTTTCGACAGTTTTTATTATAACCATTAAGTATTTGGCATCAAGTATTTATAATTCTGTAGTAGTATGTACTAAATATAACCACTACTTACTTATCCTAAATAAGATTCTAGTCTATTTTGGTAGTGGTAGTGGTAGGAGGAGTAGTAGGAGCAATAGTAGTAAGAGTAGTACTGGCAATAGTGGCCGTAGTAGTGGTAGTAGTAATAGTATGAGTAGTGGCAGCAATAGTGGCAATAGTAATGGCAGCAATAGTGGTAGTTGTAGTGGTAGTAGTATTAGTACTGGTGGTAGTAATAGTAGGAATAGTACTAGTAGGAAGAGCAGTAATGGCAATGGTGGTAGTGTAGTGGTAGTAAAAGGAGGAGTAGTAGTAGAAGTAATAGGAGCAACAGTAGTAAGAGTAGTAGTAGCAGCAATAGTGGCAATAGTAGTGGTAGCGGTAGTGGTGGTAGACACAGTAGTGGCAGTTGCAGCAGTAATGACATCAATAGTGGTAGTAGTGGTGGTGGTGGTAATAATTCATAGTGGTGGTGGTAGTAGTGGTGGTGACATTATTGTCTTTAACTAATTTTAACTAATTTGTTTTTATTGATATGGATAATGTTTCTTAGAAAAAGGAGAGTACAAAACATAAAAAAAAAATACAACCATTTTTATTCATGTGATTTGGCTAATAATTAATTCATCAATTATTAGCCTTTCAACCATTTTCAAATTCTACGTGCAACTTTTGTAAAATTAAAAATCTGTCCTTAAAAAGAAATTTAATACAACTTAACTTTTACGTTTCAAGTACACATGTCCTTTATTCTTAATTTGTTTAATTACATTTCCATGGTCAAAAAAGCCAGTTTGTTGTCTAGCTCTTTACTTTTAACACTAAAAAAAATTTGACTTTTAGCGGTGACAAAAATTGTTGCTGAAAGTCAAAAAGTTGCAGTTGAAGTTTTTTAGTGATGACTTTTTGTCATTGCCAAGTTGTTACTATAGCAATTGTCCCTAATACTAATCTTGGACACTACTAAAGGGTGCCTTAAGCAGCAACCCCACATGTCATCGTTGCTAAAAGTGGCAATGGTAGCAGCAACAGCAACAACAACAGTAACAATGATGACATATCATTAGCCACTTGGCACATCATCTCATGTCATCCACCCCATTAGCCATATCATGATTTACATATATATTGTCTTTAAACCGATTTTAACTAATTTTTTATTCATGTGGTTAATATTTCTTAGAAAAAGGAGAGTACAAAACATTAAAAAAAATACAACCATTTTTAAATTAATAATTAAATACAACCATTTTTAAATTTATGATGGCTTAACTTTTAAGTTTGAAGTACGTGCATCCTTTATTCTTAATTTTTTTTAATTACTTTCCATGTTCAAAAAAGCTTGTTCGTTGTCTAGCTCTTTGCTCCTACTACAAAAAAATTTGACTTTTGGTAGTGACAAAAGTTGATACTGAAAATCAAAAAGTTGTTGCTGAAGATTTTCAATGGTGACAAAATAAGTCACGCACTAAAAGTGTACTTTTATGTTGCCCCTAAAGGGTGCCTTAAGCGGCGACCCCATATGTTGCCGCTGCTAAAAGTAGCAAACACTACCAAAAAAATAGTAAATTACCAGCGGTTCATTTCTAGCAGTTAAAAAAACCGCTAGAAAAGTAGACATTTCTAGCGGTTATAACACAAACCGTAAGAAATCTGAAGCGCTTTGACCAAAAAGTGAGTGGAACCCACACATTTTTAGCGGTTTTGAGCCAATCACTAGAAAGTGACAGTTACAACCGTTGCTGCTATTTGGCGCGAAGTTGGCGCCATATTTTTTGTGTTTAATTTCTAGCGGTTTTGTTGCTGGAACTGCTAGAGAATGCAAATCCTCGTTGCATTTTCTAGCTGTTATGGAACTGCTAGAAAGGTCAATAAATTTCTAGCGGTTTTCATTGAAACCGCTAGAAATTTTTTATTTTTCCCGAGAAGGCCTGACACGTGGCTACATGTGGGCGGAGACGGAGGGGCAGCGCTACAAATTTCTAGCGGTTTTTGTAGAACTGCTAGAAAATCGCGGCCTAGATATACCCCCTTTCCACCTCAGTTGCACAGTGTTGGCAAATTGTGCAGCGAAACTTTGTCGAATTCTCTCCACAAAGTATATTTAGATCCAAATAATATTCTACATTTTTAGGTAAGAATAGAAATTTATTTATAAATTATTTTTGTTTTTATTTTTTATTTTATTTGTTTTATTATATTTTTAATATTGAGTTTAATTAGACTGGTTTAGTTAGAGTTAATAGAAGTATTTTTTTTTTATAATAGACTAGTTTATTTAGAGTTAATATAAATAATTATTTTTTTAATGAGTTGATGGCCAATTTAAATGTACAAATATCTGTTTTTCAATTATTATTACTTGATATTATTATTTAGAGTTAATAGAAATAATTATTATTTCATGTAATTGTTTATTTTTTATAATTTCTAGTTGTAAAATATTTTTTTATTACAATTGCTATTTGTTATTATTAGGATGACTCGTAGACTAGGGAAGGAGCCGGTCGATCCTGACAGAGGAGAACCCAGCGGAGATCAAGGTGCTGGGGATGATGATGCTGGTGAGCCATTCCCAAGCATTCATGACTACGACCTGAATAAGGAGTATATCTTGAGTTTTATAGACCATGATGATATCCAGCCTACTGAGGAGGCTCATTTCTCGGGGGATGAATAACCCCATGGTGATGTTGAGGGGGAGGAGGAGGGAAAGGCTCAAGGGAATGAGAATTTCCATAATGAGTAACGTCCTGCTCCAAGACGCCAAACCGGTTTTGAAGTAAAGTTTGTGGGTAAGTATTTATTTAATTTTTTTAATTGGACAACTATTTGATTTATATAAAAATTGTTTTACTTTAATTAATATATAATTAATTTTCCAATTAAATTTTACAGATTATGAGGGGAACAAGTCCTATAGGAGGTTGGCAGTTAGAGAGAGCTGTCTATGATGACGAGCAGACGGGTAGTTATGCCGCTGAATGAATTGGGCCAACCAACTAAGAAAGATGGCCAGCTATATAATAAGTATGTGCGCCTTCTTGGTTAGTAGTGAACTTTGTTCCCTATTTATGTAAAGGATTGGAAGAAAATCACTACGGAGAATAAGTAGTAAACTTGGGAAGTGATGAAGGTAATATAAATTTATTATTTATAATTTTTTAAAATTAGTTAAATCAATATATATATTAAATTATTTAATTGTTTGATTATAATTTTTTATTTGTATAATTAATTTGTTGTTTATAATTTTTCAAAATTAGTTAAATGAATGTATATTTTTTAGTTAAATTACTTAATTCTTTGATTATAATTTGTTATTTGTTTAATTAATTTTTTATTTATAATTTTTTTAAATTAGTCGAATGAATATATATTTTATACTTAAATTACTTAACTGTTTGATTATAATTTGTTATTTGTTTAGTTAATCTGTTATTTATAATTTTTTTAAATTAGTGAAATGAATATGTATTTTTTATTTAAATTATTTAATTATTTGATTATAATTTGTTATTTGTTTAATTAATTTGTTATTTATAATTTTTTAAAAATTAGTTAAATGAATATATTTTTTTTCTTAATTTAATTAATTATTTGATTGTAATTTGTTATTTCTTTAATTAATTTTTTATTTATAATTTTTTTAAATTAGTTAAATGAATATATATTTTTTACTTAAATTACTTAATTGTTTGATTATAATTTGTTATTTATAATTTTTTAAATTAGTTAAATGAATATATATTTTTTATTTAAATTACTTATTTTTTTGTAATATTTTAAATTAGTTAAATGAATATATATATATTTATTTAAATTACTTAATTGTTTGATTATAATTTGTTATTTATGTAATTTATTTTTATTTATAATATTTTAAAATTAGAGAAATGAATATATATATTTTTTATTTAAATTACTTAATTATTTGATTATAATTTGTTATTTGTTTAATTAATTTGTTATTTATAATTTTACTTAATTGATATAAAATAATTTGTCATTTATTTCATTTATTTTTTTTTAAATTAGTGAAATGAATGTAATTTGTTATTTTTTTAATTACAGAGTAAATTTATATTGGGAGAAGAGTTGAGGGCAGATACCATTAAAAGAATTGGGGTGGCATGGAAGAACAGGAGGGCTAACCTGTGACGGGAGAAGAAGGGTGACGGGACGAGGCCCCTACAGGAGATACTAGCAAATATACCTGGTAAAGTTCCAGAGCAAGACTGGTCAAGTTTTGTGTATTTTAGGATGCTGAGTAGATGGTATGATATTATTGCATTAATTATAAAAATTTTATATTTTTTATCCAATTTGACTAATTTAATTTTTATATATTTTGTTTCAGGCCCTTTCCTAGAAAAATACTCGGAACATCAGGTAGCAGACAATGCGTCATAGGGCTGGATCTAGGAGCTCTGCTATTACCTATGATAAGATTGTAAGTACTTAAAAAGAATTTGTATGTTGTGTATATATATTTAATTTGTAATTAATAATTTTTTTTTCATTTTATTTACAAAGGGAAAAGACATGGCAGGAGCAGGGATACGCGCCTACCTATGGTGAGATTTGGCCGATTCTGTACAGGCCTCGAGATGGGTCTCCTGCGTCAGATGAGGTTGGAGAGATGGCCGTAAGTAATTAATTAATTAAATATTAACATTGCAATGTGAATATTCCATACTAATATTTTTATATTAATTTTGATAGGCATGCATGACTCAGGTCGATACCGAGCTATGAGAGTTTCAGGGGTCTGCTTTGGATCCCATCACCTCACTTTTAGTGGGTCGTGGCTGAGCGCAGCACCTAAGCCGAGTTAACAGTCTCGGTCTTGAACCCACACCTAGTAACACGAGCATTATATGTTTAAAAAAAATTATTAAAAAAACAGAAAAGAGAGGTACAAACTTTTTAAAAAGGTTGATATAGTTTAATTACCTAAAGTAGACTCAAGTAGAAACACAATAAAGTAAAGTTTAAACATAAGAAGAATGAAACACCATTAAGCAGCAAATTAACTAAAGGTCAAATAGAAAAGAAACAGACTTAAAGTGCATATCGTCCTAGCGGAAACCTATTGCAGCTTATTGATCAGACAATATAAACTCAGTATCCTTTTCTTTCTCGCCTATGCAGAATTAGATTCCATGGAGCTTAACTATATGATCAGGTCATCAAAGTACATCAAAGCAATTCCTTGGCAGAGGCTCTTTAATTTGCTTAAGTAATTAATTTGGCTGATAGAGATATTGCCTTTACAAAAACTCTCAAAAAACCATTGAAAACATCAAGCTCTAGCCAATGAAGGACGTCCTAAACCTGAAGTAACACAAACAAATTTAAAATGGAAAGTGTGTGACCTCCTTTAAGAGGAAAACGGAAATTGGATCACAGGTTCCACCAAAAAGATTGGTTACATGCCTCTCACAACTTCGGAGTTTTCAACGGTTGGTTATGGGAATTTTTAAAGGTTTAAAGGTTGCTATAGAACTAAGGACACGTAAAAATTACGTTTTTCAGGAACTCTATTAAAGGATTAAAACTTATTATAATTGCGTACATTCGTAGAATCACCCACTAATCAACTGGATCAAAGAAATTTGGGATGCATGATTGGTTGGATCACCACTACCAAACTCATATGTAGAGAAGTCGATGTTTGTCCCAGCTAACTCATGCTCGTTGATATTTTCTAAATGATGAAGTTGTAGCAGCTCTATCATGGAGTGTACAGAGCCGGCAAGACAGTCTAAGCCCTTTTAAATCAAGGGTCAAGTTTAAAAAAATAGGATTTCAAAATAAATGGACTTTCGGTTTTAAGTCCATCAAGGATTGACTTGTTTAACCTGCATATTTCTTTTGCTATAGAAGATAAATATGTAGAGAATTTTGTCTTCTACAAGGTAAAAGTGATTTTAGTTTTAGGATTGGTTCCCTGGTGGAACTAATATCCCACTTGTATTGAATTTATTTTTCTGGTAGACCTAATCCGTAAAAATTATGATTCGGTCATGGGCTTTATTTAGAGGTTGGGCCCATTAATCTAGTTGAGTGGCCCACATGCACTTTGGTTGCATTGTCCCCCCATTGCATGTCAATTGCCATGAGGTTCCATCGTCTATCTCGCACCCATAAAATTAGTTAAAAGTAAGAAACTTACCTGATTTAATTAGTGACACTAAATATGTCAACAATTTGAATAATTTTTTCAGAACTATTTTTAAAATTTTGAATATTTAACATTATTACCCACCTTATTGTACGTTCTTCTAAGAGGAAGACATTAACATTACCTACCTTATTATCATCATCTTGCTAGTAGTATTAGCAGCCATATTATTTTGGAAAAATACATAATATCTTGAGTCCAGTCATACAACTTTTACGCGCTTATTTGGATTGGCCTATCATCAAAATTACAGATATAATTTATTGATATATATGACTTTTGTCACACCTCCTTTTATATCCCATTATACATTAATTAGAACTATTATAATGCATTTTTCAAAGTTTCCGGATGAAAAATTTTAACATCAAAATTTTTCTTTTTATTCTGTCTGTACACTGTTCATCCAAATTTGAGTCAACTTTGAAAATTCATAACTAATTCTAGAAAAAATCAAAATGAGGTGATTCTAATTTTTACACGAAATTAGCTAAGAGTTCTATAGAGGAAAAATATTCATTAGACTCAATTCCATCCAGAACAGCACCAAAAAATTCAACAAAAGATACTGTTCATATGGTCAATTTTTGAATTTCTAATATTTTAGCTCAACTTTGGAAGGGCATAACTCTTAGCACAAAATCCAAATTTAATGGTTTACCACTTAATTTAAAGCTAAAAATGAGATCTATAAGCTTGTAAAATCTCAAGGCTAGATTCCATCATTTGCTTATTACTTTATGTGTTACAAGATTGGCACTATTTAAGGAGATTTTATCTCTTAATGCCACTTTTCTAATTTATTTTCCCATTTTCCTTTTTCCCACTCTTTAGGAATTCTTCTACACACAATTACAACATGAGGGCATGGTATAAAATATACTTTACATTATATTCTCATTCATAACTCATTACAATTTAACATAAAATTCATTGGGACATTACATAACATTCCAAAACAACATAATATTCACCAAGCTTCTTTATCCCAATACCATTTCCTTGCCCTTGCCATCGGATGAACCGTCCCCTATTTGGTACATAAATTAACATAGGAGGAGGGAGATTTCAAAGAAATCTCAGTAGCAATTGAACTATAATTATCATGTAAATTAAGCAAGTTACAATGTGACATGTTATAAATTTCAAGACATCTTCAAGCCACATAAATTAATATCTAACAATATGCTAGGAGAGGAACATTAACACTTCCACATTAACACAATACAATGCATTTGGCCAAAGTATAAACCAAAGTTATCCAACCAACCAAAATCACAAAACAAGTTCCTCAATCCAAGCAAACAACATGATCACATTAAACAAGCAAGATAAACAATCAAATTATAATTCAATGTCTACCTTTTACTACTTGTCCAATTCGGTCACCTTAACGGACAATGATTCTCCTTGTCTCCTCCTCACAAAGCCTATTAAATCAAGCATAAATATAGCCTATATTAATAACCAAACAACTTAAACATAACACTTCATCTTTAACTTAACAATTTCCCTTTTTTTCTTTGACTTTTAACAAAATAATTCCTCCTTTAGAATCAATCCTCACGACTCATTCCTACACAATTTTTCATGAGAAATTCAAATATGAAATCAGATTTTTAAAAATCAAACTCCTTCCCCATGAAACTAGTTTGGCTGAATAGGGGGTATATGCTTCCAAAAGTTCTATTTTTGATTCCAATGATTTTAAACACTTCCCAATAGTATATCCCTACACAAAAATATATTTTAAACCTATTGAAATCATCAAATCAATGCAAAATAATAGCTGCCCCATGTACTATTGTCGATCGAATTGAGCACAGAACCCTAGGTGTATTTTCTTCTAAAAATCAATCCATACACCACTTAATCATGCTTATTCCACTTGATTTTTAAGACTTCTATCCTTTCCTAAACATCACATGATCTAGCAAAAATTTGGCAGCACCAAAACTTAGAATATTCAAGCCAAAACCCTTACTAACCAAGCTTGAAACTTAGGGATAGGAATGCTTAAACATACCTTGATGTTTCCCTAGTAAAAACTAGATGATTCCTTGCTCAAAACCCTCTATGTTTTGGCCTTCCTTGGTCTGGAATGAAAGTGGTAGCACCTCCCCTTATTTTTCTAATTTTTCCAACATTTTCTTGTATTTTGGGGGGCTATTTATAGACAAATAAATTGGCATTTTCCTCTGATTTTTGGATGCATAAAATGACATAAAATGAATTGAGTTGGAAGCCATCAAGTGCCTCATAGCTTTAGATTGAACCATGTGTTCCAACTCTAGAATTTTCCAATAATTATCCCTTAATTTTGCATTTTATTTAATTAATTTTAGTTGGGTCTGGAAGATGCACGAATTTGGACCCTTATTAGGCTCAATGTGGGCCCCACAAATGGTTTAAGCTGGTTCAAAAAGATGGCTCACAACCCAATTCAAAATCCCAAAGCAATTTGAAACTTTATCAGTTACTATTTACTAGTAACATTCCATAATTTTTCTAGACCTCCAAAAATTCATTTCTCTCTATGATAATTCACCTTTTAATATGATAAAATGATCTGAAAATTTTCATAATTTTTTGCCACTTCTAGGTATTTATTTTAAATTTTGTCTGATTAGGCCTCTATCAGTAATTCTGAGAAAACATAAATTCTCTAAAATTAATTGCTAAATTTTCAAGGCCTAAAAATAATTTTATAAATTCAAATAAATATTTAGATAATTTATTCATCTTTCTTCCAAATTTATTGAGGCCTCTAACTAATTAAAATAATTATTTTACTCTGATTTTCTAATATTTTCTTGAAAAACCTCCGTTTACAAGAAATTCTGTAATAATTTATTTTCACAATAAGTCCTCCTCTCGGGTCTCAACCAAGTTTTTAAAACCTCTAATTTACATTTTTCTCATTTTCAGGAATTTTCTAGAATTTTTCTTAAATTTTCCCGTTTTGCCCTTTCTAGACTGATAATTACAAAAATGCCAGCCTGGGCCTTATCGGGATTTCACACCAAAAGTTGTTTCACCTCCCCATCTAATTTTTACATTGGCCATCATCCTAATTTTTGATTCTCTATATCCAGATGAAATTTCTCGAGATGTAACAATTCCTCCCTCCTCTAAATAAATTTCGTCCTCGAAATTTTAAAACATACCTTACTAGAACAGTTTTGGGTATCTGGCCTTCATGTCATCCTCCTTTTCCCACATAGTCTCTTCTTGAGTCAACCCTCATCGAACTGAGGAAATCAATAATTCCTTGTTGGTTTTAACACCAAAAAAAGGAAAACCTAAAATGGTGAATGAATTTTGGCCAATAACCTTATGTAATGTGTTATATAAAGGAATCTCAAGTTGATTTACTGCTTTTTTGTGAAGCTATAACAAATCAGTCTATTACAGATTTTGTGTAGGTTCCAAGACCTGTCTGGCCAGAAAGTCAATAATATGAAAACAAGAATTTTTTTTTCCTCAAAAAAATATGGACAAAGGTTGAAGAGAGAAATTTGTGATATATCCGAGTTCGAGTATATGGATGATTTAGGATAGTGCTTAATTAGGCGCTCATATTACTAAAGGAAAAGGCTCAAGAGGAAAGTTTCAATTTATCATAGATAGGATGCAAGAGAAACTAAGTGGATGGAGAAAGCAAACACTCTCTAGTACGAAGACTAACCTTGGTGGAATTTGTAACGAACCAGATGGCTGTCTACTATATGTAACATTCGCACTCACTAGTTGAAGTACAGTGACAGGTAGAAAAAATCCAGTGTGACTTCATATAGGGAAATGGAGAAGGAGGAAGGAAGATGATAGGATTGGGGAATATGGGAATCGAAAAGGAAAAGGAAAAGGTTTCCATAACTAGAATCTGTGTTCTAGAATAAGAGAGATAAAGTTTTATCTGAATAATATTTAAATTCATTCTCAAATGTCTTACAACTTGAACTTAAATAAAACCACCCATAACTGAATCATAAACTGCCATAAACATCCTAATAACCAACTATTGAAATAAACACTATAACTGACACATAAGACTTAATAAAAACACATTAAGACAAGACATAAAACCACCCACTTAAAACAGAATGCCTTTTCTTATAATAAACTTGTAAGGGACATCGACTCCTATCATTAACGTCCCTTAGGAAATTAGTCTTGTCCTCAAGGCGGAAAGAGGGAAATTGCTTAGAAAACAGATCATAAAGTTCCCAACTAGCATCTTCTTGAGGTCTGTTCTGCCATTGGATAAGAAGTTCAACATTAGTTTGGCCGTTAGCATCAGTAGTGCGGGAAGCCAAAACAGTTCAAGTAGCAACACTAGCTCCCAATCATCAGTAATAGGGAGTGGAGGCAGTGGATGTGTCGGAGCAGCACCATGAGCAGGTTTAAGCAAAGAAACATGGAAAATAGGATGTACCCTTGACTCAGGAGGTAGCTGAAGCTCATAAGCAACTTTACCAATCTGTTTTATCATGAGATAAGGCCCAAAGAATCAAGGAGATAGTTTTTCAAATGATCAAGAAGCAAGTGATTTTTGGCGATAGGGCTGTAGTCGAAGAAAAGCCATGTCGCCAACCTTGAACTCCACATCCCTCCTATCCTCATCAGCTTGAGCTTTCATCTTAGCCTGTATATTCTGCAAATTGTCTCGAATTGTAACCAACACAGCTTCACATTCAGAAATAAAGTCTTCTAAATCGGCAATAGCAATGGCACCCTTAACAAATGGCAAGAGAGATGGAGGTTCACGGCTATGCACAATGTGGAATGGTGCAAAACTCGAGGAGCTATGGTAATTAGAATTATAGGAAAATTCAGCCCAATGCAAGAAATTGCTCCACTTCTTAGGATGCTCTTGAGAAAAGCAACACAAATATGCCTCCAATCCTTGGTTAACTACCTCAATTTGACCATTTGTTTGTGGATGGTAGGAGGTGCTAAATTTCAGGTTAGTACAACTCTACTGGAAAAGCTCCCTCCAAAATGAACTGAGGAATATAGGATCCCTATCAGATATGATTGACTTAGGAAACCCATGTAGCTTAACTATTTCTTTACAAAAAATGTCAGCAACAGACTCGGCAGTGCAAGGCTTGCACAATCCAATGAAATGAGCAAATTTATTGAATCTGTCCACAACCATCAATCCATTTGATTTCGAAAGTCCATATATGAAATCTAAAGAGATATCTTCCCAAATTTTGTCAGGGACAGAAATGGGTTGCAATAACCTAGCAAGGGCCTGAAGAAGAAATTTATTTTGCTGACAAACAAGATAGTTCTGCACAAAGGTTTTAACCTCCTCCTTCATAGTCCTCCAGTAGAAATGCTGTTGAACTCTCTTCAAAGTTTTCAGAACACCTCTATGACCACCTACAGGTGAAGAATAGGCTTCAGAAATCAATGTATTACTAAGAGTTGATTGGGCTGGAACAACCAATCAATCTTTGTAATACAGCTTGCCTGAAGAAATCACAGAGTGAGTGATAGAATGGGGGTCAGATTTGAGAGCAGCGATAATGGAGGCAATATAAGGATCTTGTAACAGCTGCTGCTCCAAATTCTGAAAAATAGTTGTATGAGGAACAACCAAAGCAAACATTTTAGCAGAGTGTGATTGCCGAGATAACGCATTTGCCCCTTGATTTGATGATCCAGATTTATAAATAATGACGAAGTCATATGGGAGCAATTTCATAATTAGTTGTTGCTGCTTAGGAGTGGTCACACATTAGTCAAGTAAATATTTCAGGCTGAAATGATCTGTACGAACTTCAAACTTCCTTCCCAATGGAGAATGTTGCCATTTTTCCACTGCTTTCACTAAAGCTAATAATTCTCTATTATATACAGACTTGTGCTTCTTAGAGGAAGACAACCCTTTACTATAAAAAGCAACAGGGTGTCCATTTTGCTATAAGATAGCCCCAGTTCTTGCAGATGAAGCATCACATTCCACAACAAATGGCTAAGAGAAGTTAGGTAATTGAAGAACAGGAACAAATGTCAAGGCTTGTTTCAAGCGCTCAAATGCAACAGTTGAAGATTCTGACCACTGGAAGGCGTCTTTCTTAGTCATATCAGTAAGTGGTCTAGCCAGTTGTCCATATTGGTGGACAAAACGTCTGTGGTAGCCAGTAAGACCAAGGAAGCCATGTAATTCTGATACATTTTACGGGAAAGGCTAGTTCAAGACTGCTGAAATCTTATCCACAGCCACTCCTGCACCCAATATTACATGTCCTAAAAAGGAAATTTCTGACTGAACAAAATGGCATTTCTTAAGATTAGCATAAAACACATTTTGTTGCAAAGTCTGCATAGTTATCCTCAAATGAGCCATATGTTCTTGAAAGGAGCCACTATAGACCAGTATATCATCAAAGAAAACCAAAATGAATTTTCTAAGATATGGTCTAAAAAGGTCATTCATGACTGCTTGAAAAGTAAGGGGCATTTGTAGGGCCAAAAGGCATAACAATAAATTCATAATGCCCTGAGTGAGTTCTGAAAGTAGTTTTGTGTACATCTTCTGGTAAATCTCTAATATGATGGCAACCAGAATGCAAATCAATTTTAGAAAAATATTTGGCCCTATGAAGTTCGTCAATTAACTCATCAATAGTAGGGATAGGATACTTATATGGTATTGTAATTTTGTTGAGTTCTCTGTAATCCACACAAAACCTCCAAGATGAATCCTTTTTTAACACTAGAAGCACAGGACTTGTAAAAGGGCTGACACTAGGCTGTATAAAACCTTTCTTCAACAAATCATCAACTTGTCTTTCAATTTCATCTTTTTGGGAATAAGGGTATCTATAAGGATGGATGGTAGGTGGAACTGAGCCCGGATACAAGGGAATGATATGACTGTTCTCCCTCAATGGAGGTAATGATCGAGGCTCCTTAAACATCTTGGAATACTGTTACAGGAGTCGCTGCACATGTTGATCTATCCAATCTTCTAAGCCTGTGCACGCATAACTATTCAAAGATGCATATTGTTGAGGTTGTGGGTTCCCCCTAAAACTTGCAATGTTTACCATCCACCCAAGAGATCATGAACATTTTCTGCCAATTAGCTTTCACAGTATTTAGAAATGCTAGCCACTGTATTCCCAATACTACATCCGCTCCGCTAAGGGAAAAAGGAAAGAAATCATCCTTAATAGTGAGGCTCTGCACTTGTACTTCCAGTTTCTTACAAACCACCTTGCAAGAGGTAATTTTCCCATCTCCTATTTGAATTCCAAAAGGAGGAATTTACTGAACGGGAATCTTTAACTCAGTCACCAACTTCTCAGAGATGAAGTTGTGAGTTGATCCGCTATCAATTAAAATGAGGACCTCCCGAGAGAGAATAGTCCCCAACACTTTCATGGTAGTCATCGAAGAGATTCCAAGAATCACGTAGAGTGATATCTCGGCCAATTTTGAATCCTCCGTAGGTTCTATCTCACGAGTTGTCTCTGAGTCTTCGTGAACATCATCTGTTAATTCCATTAAACAAAGGGAAGTAGATTTGCAATGATGTCTAGGGGTAAATCTATCCCCACATCTAAAACACTGTCTCTTATCTCTCCTTAACTATCAATCATGCTTAGAATTTATGCGATTGGGCGTGACAGATGCGGAAGTGTTCAAATTGGAACTAGGTAACTGTTTCAGGTACTTATTTTGCGAGATAGAGGATGAATAACTTTTAGAAACTGAATTTGAAAAAGATTTTGAGAAATAATATTTATTATCTTGATAATTATTGTTCCCTTTGGTAACACGTGTTGACCTAGGATGTTGGCCAGAACGATTTGCCAACAATTTCGCCTCAAACTCAATTGCTAGGCGGGCAACTTTATAAACAGTACAGGGCTTTTGTATTTTCACATTGTGTTGCAATTCTTCTTTCAGCCCGTTAATGAACACGGCTAAAAGATAATGTTTACGCCACCCTACAGCCTAAGAGGATCTTCTGTTAAACTCTTACCTGTATTCTTGTTCTAATCCAATCTGTTTGATGCTATAAAGGAAAAAATCCGGATTCTAAAATTTTGTAGGACAAAAATGTTCATGAAAAATCTGCAGTAACTCTTCCTAAAATCTAATTGATCTTCCTAAAGATGCCTAAGTGAAGACATCCAATGCATCCCCCTCCAAATACATTGCAGCCACTTTGACTTTAAGGTCTTCAGGTGTTTGGTAACACTTGAAAATACTTCTCCGCCTTCATGAACCAGCCTCAAGGATCCCCTCCTTCAAATTTTGGAAATTCCACCTTAGTATGAGGGCATTTAGATGGTTTTTTATTCCACCATAGATCTTTATGTTCATAATGATCTACATAAAGATCTACATTCTCTTCAATAGCTGGTCTTTTATGTTGAAAGTTTGAATCCTGTTGTTTAAGCTCTTCCATGTCAGGGTCCAATCGAGTTAGTTTCTGCACAATTATTGATAACTGTTGTGTGAGTGTGTCTTCATTGGGGTTTGCAGAAGGTTCTATGCTAGACGATTCTGGGGTAGGAAGAAGAGAAGGGTTGGTATTGTTAGAATTTTTGGTTTTTCCCATTGAGTCCCGAAGAAGCCAGGATTAATGCTCTGATGCCAAAAATGATAGGATTGGGGAATATGGGGGTCAAAAAGGGAAAGAAGAAGGTTTCCAAAACCAAAATCTTTGTTCTAGAATAAGACAGATAAAGTTTTATCTAAATAATATATAAATTCATTCTCAAATGTCTCACAACTTGAACTTAAATAACACCACCCATAATGAATCATAAACTACCATAAACGTCCTAATAACCAACTATTTGAATAAACACTGCAACTGACACAGAAGACTTAATAAAAAAAACATAATAAGACAAGACATAAAACTACCCACTTAAACATAATGCCTTTTCCTATAATAAACCTATAAGGGACGTCAACTCCTATCAGAAGATGCCTATGTTTAGTTAGGAAAATCTTTGTAAACCAAAAAACAAGAAGCCGGTATGGTTTGAAGGATCTAGCTGTGATGAATGATGTGTTATTGGTACGAATTAGCTAGAATATACTAACCATGCTCAACGGCCTATGCTCACTTCTGTTAAGAGGGAAATATGAGAGAGGTTTAGACCTGTGTAGAGAATATGCAACAAACCCTACAGACTTGCAGTTATGGAGAAACATTACCAGGCTATGGCCTAACTTGATTGATGGTATTCAGTGGGAGATAGGAAATAGAAAAAGGGTTAAGTTTTGGCTAGATAATTGGTTTGGTGACAACAGCAAATTAATTAAAAAATGCAATGCCCAATTGCAAGAGAATGAGTTATAGTGTATAGCGGTGGAAACGGTTGGACCAAATAGAAAATGGGATTACTGCAAACTCAATAATCTGATAAGTAAGAAAGGAAAAGATAGCATTAAAACTATCCCTACACTAAGATGTATGAGGAAGATGTCATTAGGTGGAAAGGGTCCCTGCAAAATGAATATCTGGTGATTGAGATATACAGCAGAATGAGACAAGAAACAAGGCCAAAGGATGGGTTATGGAAGAAGATTTGGAAGTAGAGGGGGCTAACATGGATAGAAGTCTTCTTGTGGAATTGCTACCTATGATATTGACTATTGAAAGGTAAAATAGATTGCTAGGGGGATCAGATATTTGTTATAAGTGCCTAGGGAAAGTGGAAGATGTGATACACATGTTGTTAGAGATAGTGTGACTTCAAAAATAGTCTGGGAAGGGTTTTAGAAAAAGTGAATCTCTAATTTGAATTCTACCAACATCAAGGTAGAGATCGTTTTTAATGGAACTTCAGCAGAAATAATGCCACATAGCAGGGCACTCACTACAAAAAAAAAAAAGAGAAGAGAATTAGTGACGGAATTCTGTTCCGTTGCTAATCTATCACTATTCCAAGACTAATTCTGTCACAAATATTAGCGACGGAATTGTGAAGGATTTGCAGCGTATTTTAGTGACAGAAATTTCTGTGGCTAAATTCTGTCAGTAAAATAAGATTTGCGACGAAATCTTTTCCGTCACTAAAATCCATCACAATTCTATCGTAAAAGTCTGTAGCTAATTTTGTTGAAAAGCTGTCACAAATCCGTCACAAATCCCTCGCAATTTCATCACTAATTTTGTCACAAGTTAAGCCAATCTTTTTGACAGAAATCAGGGACGAATTTATGACAGAAATTTGTGATGGAAATTTTTTCGTGACAAATTTCCGTTGCTAACACAACTACCATCACTAAGCCGTCGCAAATTTCTGTCACTAATCCATCACAATTCCGTTACAAATCCGTCGTAAATCTGTCACTAATTTGAAATAGTTGTTATTCATTATTGTTGTTTATATTATGTAAAAATTATTTTTTACATGAGGATCAAGGCATCCAGGAGTTCTAGTGTTAGTTCTCCAAGTGTGGAGGAATCAAATTAGCTAGATGGTGAAGAAATGAGGATTTGGTTGCAGGCTTCTGGTGGTAAGAACAAGAAAGGTTAAATCTATGGCTTAGGATCTGATGCCCATCATAATGACTGCACACAACATTCTTCTCATATGTCTTCTCCTTCCATCAACACAGAAGGCCAACCTGATCTTCAGAATATTGTCTCAGAGCTTAAACAAGAAAATGAAGATCTTAGACAATTGAATGCACCAGCTAGTCTAGGTTGGAAGCACTTAAGCAAAAATTCTCAACTGGTCACCCATCAACTCCAACACTCAAAGTGAAGCAAGTCCACATAATGATAATTAGTAGTTTGTTTATTTAATATTAGACTTGTTATAACGATTGCTCTTTAATTTGGGACTTGACATTTTTAGATTTGTTGCTTGTTATAACGATTTTAATTTGGTTTGAATATTAGCTACATTATAATTATAATTTCAATTTGTTTCTTCCAGGAAATGCAGCTTGAAACAAAAAATAAAAAAAATTCATGGATTTGTCACGGAACTTCCGTCTCTAAATATATAATCAGTAAAAAAAAACATGGAACATTAGTGACAGATTTTCCAGGGAATTCCGTCACTAATTTGTGACGGACAATTTTGTCACAAATCCGTGGTTAACATGTGACCAAAAATTCCATCAAAAAACTGAAAATTCTGTCATAAATTTGTGACGGAATTTCCGTCACAAATGTGTGCAATTTTTTGACAAAAATTCCATCACAATTCTGTCACAAATTTGTGACGGATTTCAGTCACAAGTCCGTCACAAATTTGTGACGGAAATTCCATCACAAATCTGTTGCAATTTTGTGACGGAATTTCCACCACAAATTAGTGACGGACAACTCCTTCATTAATCCGTCATAAAATTTGTGACAGCTGTCCGTCACAACTCTTTTGCCAAATTAACGACGGATTCTTTATTTCCGTCACAAATCAATTAGTGATGGCGTTTTTAGACAGATTAGCGACGGAAATTCCATCACTAACCAGTTTAGCGATAGAAATTCCGTCACTAATTTTCATCGATAATCTCTTGTTTTTTTGTTGTGACTTTTGGAGTGGCATGTTAGAAATAAAGGGCTATTGGAGGACAACGTCAATCCATCTTTTAGCCCAAACGCTGAACTAGAGAGCTTGGTGCGTGTAATCTTAATGGCGTAGGGTGTGTTTGGAATCACATCTAGACCTTCAAACTGACTTCTCTACCGGCAAAAGAAGCTTTTTTGATTTGGGATGTGTTTGGAATCACATTTTTGTAATCTGACTTCTGTCACTGAAACGGACTTATACAATAAGCTCAAAAAAGCTGCTTTTATCCAATCTGACTTCTATAGAAGTCAGATTGAAAAAAAAGTTACTTCTCTGCCGCTAATCCAAACACACCTGTAATCTACGAACGGTTGTTTGGGGAAAAAAAATAAAAAACTTGAGCATATTGCTGGGAGAGAACCTGAGGAGGGGTAGGTAAAACTCAACATAGATAGGGCTTCGAAATGAGGGAGTAGTTTGGCGATATACGGAGGATTGTTGAGGGGGAGTGATGGGGGCTGGTTGAGAGGTTTTAGCAAAATCCTAGGTATTTGTACAACAATAAGAGCAGAATGATGGGGAGTTGCTTGAGGTTTAAAGCTAGCTGGAGACAACCATATATAGAATATAATCATGGAAAGTGACTCACTTGCCACTATCAATTTGCTGCGCAGGTTATCAAATAATGAAATTTTTTAGTCTAGTCTTTTAACACTTGTAAAGTCTAAGCTTGTTAGTTTCAGGAGAATTAAATCCCAGCGTGTGTATAGAGAAGGAAACATGTGTGCCGATTGTTTAGCTAACTTGAGTCTAGATCAGACTGAGGTGGAGGCTATTTTTGATGTCCCACTTCAAGAGCTTAGGAAATACTTGTATCACGATTTTATGGGAGCTACTCTTCCACTTCAGTCATAATATAATCTGATGGGCTGAATGTGCCGTTTTTACCCAAAAAAATTGCGCTTAGATTTTCAGCATCATCCTGAGTTCTCCTATAACAAAATTTTTCATTGC